AGAGAGAGAGAGAGAGAGAGAGAGAGAGAGAGAGAGAGAGAGATTTGTTAGAAGAGACAGACCGACAGACATATGGTCAGGACTTAGTGTTCAGGGCCCAACACCACAGATAGACAACACAGCAAGGGCTCTGAAGAGAGTTCAGGCCACAAGGCAGAGTGGGCATCCTTCGCACAGGTCTCATACTGTCACAAGTTGATGAGTAGTCCATAGCATGGGCCTGCATTTGGGGAAGAGATGTGTAACTCTGCATATATGGTGAGGAGGGACACATCTAGTCCAGCTGTACCCATTATACCAGTAGCTCTCTAATGTCCTAGGAAACTGAACCTGTGGAGTTCCTTGGGGAAGTAAGAATGGCACTTGTCATTCTCCTGGGATCCAGGCACCTGGAGAGTCTGTTAGAGGTTAGAGATTCACACACAGGCTCTTAGTGAAGGCTTTCCATTTCCTTTACAGCAGCTATGAGGAAGAGGCTGCTGCAGGTAGGCATGGCTTGATTAGCCCCTAGTCCAAAAACCTAACAGTGGTGAACCTGGCATTGAAGACTAAGGAGGATTGTCTAGATAGGGATAGCAGGCAGGGAACAGTACAGGAAAGCTGGTCAGAAGGCAGGGGTGCCTGTAGAGTGGAAATCCAGGCTGAGTGTACACCCAGGAGAAGAAGGAGAAAGGCTGGTCAAGATAGCAGGTGAGGTCAGGTGACTCACAACCTTGAATGCGAGGCTCAGAATTTGAGAGGAAACAGGGCGGCCTTAAGGATCAACCAGAGTAGTGGTACTTCTTAGAAAGATGAGGGAGTAGAGGTGAGGTGAAAAGGGTGAGCTTGTAGGGGGAGTGGTGAGGGCTGACTGCCCTGGGAAAGAGGCAGTGGTCAGAGCACAGGGCATTTGGGCTGTAGTGTGGACCCAGAGTGACTTTGGTAGAGCTGTTACTGCAGGCTTTACTGGTGAGGAAGAAAGGTAGTTTCCATTACATCCTACTACAGAATTGTGAAAACTGTCAGAATCAAAATGAAGTCACTCTTCTTGATACTACTAAATAATGACAATAACAATAAAGATCCCAAGAGGGTGGGCTCACGCATGGATGCCTGATAAAAACCATTATTTAAGTTCCTAATGTAGGCAGGGTGTCACTCAGTTGGACAAGTGATTCCCTTGCAAGCTTGAAGACCCGAATTTGATCCCCAGAACCTATGTGAAAGCTGGATGTGGTAGCACGAACTTGTAATCCTAGTGCTGGGGAGGTGGTGGTAAGGTCGATGCCTGGGGTTCCCTGGCTAGCCTGCCTAGCCTACTTGGCGAGCTCTAGGCCAGTGCAAGACCTGTCTCAAAAACAAAAATAACGTGGATAGTATCAGAAGAATGACAACCGAGGCTGTCCTCTGGCCTTTACATGTACACACACACACACACACACACACACACACACACACACACACTTTTTAAAAAATAGAAGCATTTTTAAAGTTGAAAAGAGCTGGGGATGCAGCTCAGTGGTAGTATAAGCACTCAGTGTATATGAGGCCATGGACTAAAAGAAGTCCCAAAGAGCTTTTACCACAGCTTTATTTAATGCACCTTAACACAACTGAAGCAAGGATGGTTGTTACAGGGGACCAGTCAGGTGTCTCCTCAGGAAACAGCCAGAGGTAGGCATTCTTCTTTGTGTTAAAACTGACAAGATGCTTTTTAACATGCACATGAAAAGGTAAAGAGTTTCAAATAAGTGTGTTTAAAAAGAGAAGACATGGGCTACTTGGCGAACTTCATGTAAAGCTGTGGAAATCAGACACTGTTGGCACTAGTGAGAGGATAGGAAGGTAACAGCAAACCAGAGCCCAGGAATAATCCACATGTGTAAGGACAGTTGGTTTTGGACAAAGGTGCAAGGGCATATCAATGGGGGACAACTGGCTTTTTGGTAAACACAGCTGGGGGTATTTGGATGTCCACAGAAAGAGAGGGAGAGAGACAGCTGGGGAGAAAGCTCAGTCCAATAGCTACATAAGCATGAAGATCTGAGTTCAATCCCCAGAGCCCATGTGAAAAATTAGGTGTGGGCACATGTTTGTAATCCCAGTGCTGGCAAAGTAGAGATAAGAGGATCTTTGGAGCTTGCTGGCCCATCAGTATAGGCTAATTGTCAAGTCCCAAGCTTAATGAAAGGCCCTACCTAAAAAAATCAATGTGGGGGGCTGAAGAGGTGGCTCAGTGGGTAGAAGCACTCGCCACATAAGTCTGATGGCTGGGGTCTGATCCCTGGAACCCACATAAAAAGTCAGATATGGTGGTGTGTATCTGCAATGCCAGCGCTCCTATGGGGAAATGAGAGGAGAAGACAAGAGGGCCAGCCAGCCTGGAGTAAGCCAATGGGAGAAGCGAGTATCCCTATCTCAACCAAGTAGGAGCCGAGAATTGACTCCTGAAAGTTGTCCTTTCTGATCTCCACACTTGTCCCATGTGTGTGCTCAGACTCATACGCACGCACACAGACATATAAATAAATAAATAAATAAATAAATAAATAAATAAATAAATAAATACTATTTTAGGGGCATGAGAGATGGCTTAGTTTTTAAGAGCACTGGCTGGGTTCAGTTCCCAGCATCCACATGGCAGCTACCAACTGTTTGTACCCCTAGTTCCAGGGGATCTGATGCTCTTTTCTGTCCTCTGTGGATGATGTACTTACATACATGAAGGCAAAATACTCATACACATAAAAAAAATTTAAAATCAATAATTACTAAAATTTTTTAATTTTAAGAAACAAGAAGAAAAAAAACAAAGGTGGATGGCTCCTGTGGAATGGAGGTTGACCTCTGGCCTCCACATGTATGTACACACATAGGTGCATGTAACTGCACATATACCCCATACACACAAAAAAATAAAGAAGAATAGAGAAAAGGAGAGGAACACAGAGACTACCTTACTTTGCATTGTTGAAAAAATTAGGTAAAAGTGGGTCAAAAACCTAAATGTAAAACCTGAAACCATAAAACATCTAGAAGAAAACAAGAGAAAGACTTGGAGTTGGGCAAACATTTCCTAGCTATCATCCCCAAATCATGATCCATAAAATAAAAAAAAAAAGATAAATTGAACCTCATCAAAATGTAAACATTTGTCCTTCAAAAGACACTGTTGGGAAAATGAAATCAGAAGCCTCAGCCAGGCGGGGTGTGTGCCTGTAATCACCACACTTGGGAGAATGAAGCAGGAGAATGGAGAGAGCCAGACCAGCCTTAACTCCGAAGGCCCTGTCTCACGATCACAGAGAGAAGACTAGGGTGATGGTTTGACTGGTCAAGTACTTGCCTTGCCAGCCAGCATGAGGACCTGAGTTTGGATCCCAAACCCCATGTAAAATACTTGGTGTGGTGGCACATGCTTAGAATCTCAGCAATGGTGAGGGGGGAGACAGGCAGGCAGATCTCTGGAGCTTGCCGCTCAGCCAGCTTAACCTACTTGACAACGTTCCAGGCTAGTGTCTCAAACAAAAGGTGAAATTTGTCTGAGAAAGGACACTTGAGGTTGATCCCTGACCTCCACATGCATGTGCATACATGTGCACTCCTGCATACACACGTGCATCCCTCCATAAAATAAAAACAGAGAGGTAGAGGAAAGAAAGAGAGAAACTGTCCAGCAGCTGCTAGCCCTGGGTTTCTGGGCCACGTCCACCAGGGACTGCATCCAAGGATGGGGTGCTGGCACCTAATGCAACTCCTTGAAGGGGCAGTTTGTTCCACAGCCCATTATTAGGTTGCTCAAGGCCTTGTGAGCCCAGTGCAAAATGAGACTGCAGGGCCTCTTGCTGTAAAGTTAAGTTTCAAGATGGTGACAATAGGGCATTAACACACCCCCCCGAGCCCCCCAGGCATCCACCTCCCTGCCCAAGTCTGTTTGCTCTCTTCCCTTTCCAAACCGTCCAACCAGCATCTGAGTCTGAAGTCCCTCCCCATCTACTGCTGCTTCTTTCTGTTTGTATTCTAGACGTCTACCCTGCAGTATAACAGCTTGTAGCCCAGAAATAACTTCTCAGGAACCCCAAAACACACAGCCATTTCTCAAAATGGTTTGGTCTTGAACCCCTTTTTAAAAAGAATATTGTATTTTTCCCTTTTAGGGTGTGGGGTGGGGAGGCATAGGTCAACCTCAGGTGTCATTCCTTGGGCACTATCTGCCTTGTGTTTTGAGACAGTCTGTTTCTGGGACCTGAGGTTCATTGATTAGGCTAGGCTGATTGGCCAGTGAGCCCTAGGGATCCACTTGTCTCTGTCTCCCCAGTGCTGGGATTACAAGTACATGCCATCATGACTGACTTTTTATGTGGGTGTTGGGGATCAAACTCAGGTCCTCGTACTTGTGTGGCTAACACTTTCTCAATTGAGTCATCTCCCCAGTATCTCCTTTTGGTTTTATTGAGACAGGGTTTTGAATTCAAGGTCCTCCTGCCTCTATTGCTCCAGGACTGGGATTATAGACATGTGTTACTATATCTGACTAGAATGCTTGGTGTATCTGATGGCAAACACACATCATAAAATGTTGTACAGTCATCACCCTGTCCCCTTCATGCTGCCTAGGGACTCCACATGCCTGAACATGCTACCCTTGTCTGAAGATCATGACCTCTGGGGTGACTGCCCATGGTCACCTCCTGCAAAGAGGTTCTTCTTTACCCAAGTCCCCAAATGATGGCTCACCTTCTAGGATGGGGTTGGCCTCCAGAACCTGCTGCTCAATCCATGAGTGCTGGCCACTGATGGTAGCCAGGAACTGAAGGATGAGCTTAGTAGTCTCTGTCTTCCCGGCTCCAGACTCACCACTGCCAAAGAAAATACAGGGACATGAGGTCACAAAAAGCACTTACCACTGTCAGCACCTCTCCATTCCCTGCCACCTACAAATCTGGATTTGGGCCAGGTTGACAGGGACACTCTTTCTGATGCAGGAATCCCACTACATTTGCTCTGAAGTTCCTGAACATCTCAAACTGTCTATGGTGCAGGCATTTGTCCAACCTGTGGCTGGTGGGCCATGTGTGTTCAGGTAACTATTGATGCAACCTGTTCATTTGTAGATGACAATGTCAAAAGGTTGAGCACCCCTGGTAGACGTTATTGCATTGTCTTTTTCTCCCCTGTTATGCTGCAACATATGTTGCTCCCCTGTTATTAAGCCTCTGGTCTGGCTTAATCCAGAGCCCCCTGGCAGAAGAATGAGTAAGATGACTCCTGATGGAGGTGTGGCTCCCAGGCCAGTGGTATCTGTCACCTGGTTAGGAACCCCCTGTGATGGCTATAACTGATGTCAGGTCAACAGGGTCTAAAATCAGCAAAGAGATAAGCCTCTGGGCAAGTCAGTGAGAGATTCTAGATTAAGCTACTTGAAATGGGAAGGCTTACCCTAAATATAGGTGTTAGGATCCCATGGGTGGGGTCCTGGACTGAATAAAGAGGAGAAAGTGAGCTAGGCACTGGTGTTCACCTCTCTCTGCTTCCTGACTGCAGATGCAATGTGACCAGCTGCCTTATACTCCTGCCACCATGCCTTCCTTGCCGTGAAGGACTGTGCCCTCAAAATGTGAGCTAAGGCAGAAGGCTAAGGCCAGAAGGACCTCTTAAGGCCATGAGAAAACAAACTCTTTCTTCTTTACATTATTTTGTCAGGTTTGGCTATCATTGCAGCAATGAGGAAAATAACTAATGCACTACTCTTTCCTATTTTAGTCCGTTTGCTTCCCTTCCTATATTATTTTGAGAGAATCCCCTGATCAATATCATTTCCTCTGAGATTGTAGTCTTTTGAAAAAGCCATGATTTAAATGTCCACAATCGCTATGTCAGCAAATCAGAGGCAGACCAAAACACTTCCACTGATATTCATGAGCTCTGTGAACCGAGTTCATCAAATAACCAATATAGAGACAGGCTGCCATGGACAGAATTTAGGGGACTTGCTTACTGTCCTGAGGGGAAACCAGTAGCTATATGGTTTGCATATTCACCCCAAAACTCATCTCGAAGGAGAAAATTTTTGAAATAAAGACTCACTATATTGATAAAGCTGGTCTGGATCTCACGGTCTTAAGAGGTCCTTTTGCCTTAGCCTTCCAAGTAGCTCAGACTAGAGATATATACCACTGTACACTGAGCTCATGTGGAAGTGTAACTGCCATGTTAATGGCATTAGAAGTAGGATTTTTAGGTTGGAGTTGTGGCTCAGGGCTAAGACACTTTCTTGGTATGCATGAGGCCCCGAGTTTGACCAGTTCTGAGGTAAGCCAGGGGGAGGTAGGTCTTTTAGAAGGTGATTAAGAAACTGGAGATATAACTGTGAGTGGAGTGCTTGCTTAGTATGTATGGGGCCCTGTATTCCATCCCTAGAACTGCATAAAACCTGGTGTTGTTATGGATGCCCGTAATTCTGGTACTCAGGCAGAGGCAGGAGGAACAGGAGTTCTAAGTCATCCTCAGCTACGCTGACAGTTTGAGGCCAGCTTAGCCTGCACGAGACGCTGTCTTAGAATAAAAGGTGATTAGGTAAAAGATAGGTTGATATCATTGTTTCAAGAGGGGCTTCCAACACCAGGCATGATGGCATATGCCTTTAATTCCAGCACTTAGAAGGCAGAGGCAGGTGGATCTCTATGAGATTGAGGCCAGCCTGGTCTACATAGTGAGTTCCAGGCTGGCTGAGGCTATGGGACATTCTGTCTTAAAAAAAGTAAAAAACCAGCAAACATAAAAACCAAAGGAAAAACCAAAACAAAACAAAGAAGGGGTTTCTGAAAAAGTTAAGTTCAGTCCCTACTTTCTCTGTGTGCTCTTGCCACGTGATGCCTTCCCATTATGACAGCACAAGGCCCTCACTCCTTTCTTGGCTGTGTGATAGACAGTCAGTCTGGGTACTTCATAAACAGGAGAGTGCATTTGGTTCATGGTTCTGGATGCTTCAGACCAAGGGTCCACATTGAGTGAGGTCCTTGTGTTCTGTCTCTCAAGACAGGGGACCTGCCCTGTAAGAAATTGGCCTCCTGAGCAGAGGTGGGCCAAAGGCAGCTACCTGGGAAGTTCTCAGGAGGTTTCTTTCTTACAAGACAAGACCCTTATCTTAAGAGACAGATTTTCTGTGTCCAGGGGCACCTCCCTTTCTTCTCTGGTGGCCTGAATTTGAATTCTCCACTTCACTGCTGTGTGCCACTGGGAATGGGCATCAACTTCTCTAATTATAGGTTTCCCTAATGTAAAATACAGCCATCTTCAGAGGGTGGCTGAAGACATGAAATTTAACGATCGTGATAGCTGTTCAAAACATATCTTCTCAGAGAGGCTGTTTCTGCTCTCCTTGCTACTCACTGAGCATCCCTGGCCACCCACCTGCCTCTTCCCTGCTATGCTTCTCTTCAAAGCTCTTAACACCTGCATGCAAACATGCTACTATTGCTTGTCAGTCCCCCCTTCTGTGATGTGAGCCCTATTTCTTTTGTTTCTCATGTCAGGACAATGAGAGTGATAAGATTTTTAAAAAAACTTTTTGAGCTCAGGCTGGCCTCAAACTTGTGATATAGCCAAGGATGAACTTAAACTTCTGATCCTCTATTTCCTGAGTACTAGGATTACATAAACACATCACAATGTCCAGTTCACATGGTGCTGGGGAGGGAGCCAGGACTTTGTCATGCTAGGCAAGCACTTTACCAGCTGAGATATGTCTCCAGCCTGGGATACAAAGAGATTTATAACGAACAAATAAACAAAATAATGAGTAAGTGAATGACTATTACACTACCAATCTAGGGACTCTGGAACCAAATATTTATGCTTCTTCTTCTACCTCTCAATGTCCTTTCTCTTAGCAGGAGGCAGGTCTGTGGCACGGGGAGGCCAGGCCTGACCAGGCAGGGAATTCCTGAATCAGAGACAGGCCTGGGATTGGAAGGGCACATTTCCCTCCTGGTCCCTAGAGACATCTGGGTATGAAGGACCTGTCCTCAGGGTCAGGGGACATTTTCTCAGGATCAGGGGACATGTCCTTGGGATGGGGACATGTTCTTGGGGTGTGGGAAACATGTCCTTGGGGTGGAAGACATGTCCTCAGGGTGTGGGGAGCATGTCCTTGGGGTGGGGACATGTCATTAGGAGCAGGGCAGCAGGGGAACTTCCGGGCAAGCATGTGCCACTTAGAGCAATAGTTATGGTAGAGGAAGAACCCTAAAGATTCTGGCCTGAAGAGCTTTAGGGGGAGGGGTGCTTCCTCCCTTAATGGAATGCTCTGGGACTTGAAAGTAATTGCTGACTCATCTTGAGCTAGGAATGGGTCCGAGCCCACCTGATGATGCAGCTCTGGTCCCTCTTGTTCTTCTTCATGTTGAAGTAGCAGCTGTTGGCAATGGCGAAGACATGGGGGGGCAGCTCGCCCAAGTGGTGGCTGTAGTAGAGCTGCACCTGCTCCAGGGTGTACAGAGGCAACATCTGGAAGGGGTTCACAGCCACCAGGATGGAGCCTGTGTAGGTCTGGTGAAAGGAACAGGTGTTTAGAGCCTTTCCCTCCCAGGCAGAGTTGCTGGGCCTGGCTCTTCCTGAGCAACTCTCAACTGCTTGGCTTCTTCCTCTGGGAAGATGGGGGTGTTCACTAGACTGGGCACGTCTGGGGGCCATTCCCAATAAGATTAAATGTGTAATACTCTTAACTTGTTCTTAGAAGGGACTCAATTTAAATGTACAAGTGTTTTCATCTGCCTCCTGCAGAGGCGTCTTCGAAGGCTGAGTGACACCCACCACCCTCATTGGTCCTAACCACATGTTTTGTGTGCTTGGGGTCCAGGACAAGCCCAGTTCCTGGGCAGCAGCCTAGGCTCACCTGATCATCAGGAATTTCCATTTGGCCCAGATGTCCTTGTAAAACCAACCCCCTTCCCCTTAGTGCAGGATTATCCTTGTCTTCAGGGCTATGAGGTCTGGATGCCTGTAGAGGTGCTTTGGAGAGGAAGTGCTATAAGCTGGCATAACCCACTGCTTCTACAGTCCCAGGAGCTCTGACCCACCTGGGACCAAGGCAGAAGCAGCATGCCCTGCTGCTCCTCCATGGAACCCCTCCTCCTTTCAGCCTTCTCTCTGCTCAGGGTCCCCATCTTACTCCCAGGCTCCTTTGAGCAGCCCAGAAAGGCCATTTGGAACTAAATTGCCCATTCAGACAATGCGGGAGGCCTAGGCAGTGACTCTCCCAGCCATATCCAGTTGTTCAGAGTCCTGAGCATCACAAGGGACACTGGTGTCACAGAGTTCTTCTCAAGCTGTAGTGGGAACTCTGGTGTCTGGGCTGTCACAAGACTTGCTCTCAGGAGGATCAGGGTCTTCTGGGGTAAGCATCTTCTGTTGGTTTCCCTGTCTCAGCAACATGTCTTGGAGGGGGAACAAAAATCTGTGTCTACTCCACTGTCCCCAGGCATCTCTTCAGGCTGTTAGTTTAGGCCTTCTGCTCAGCACAGATACAGAGAAGGGGCAGCACTCATTGGGTATCTACTGTGTGCCTGGCACTGTGCCATTACTCTGTACCAGTTGCCCATCCTCCACAGTATGATGTTTGTGCTGCTTCTTTTTTTGAGACAGGCTGTAGCCCAGACTGGCCTCAGACTCATTAGGTAGCCAAGGAAGAGTTTGAACTCCTGATCCTCCTATGCCAGTTTATGTGGTGCCAGAGTTGGAACCCAGGGCTTCATGCATGCTAGGCAAGCACTCTACCAACTGAGCTATATCTCCAGCCTTGCTCCTGTTTCTTTGGATTGGTAGCAGACAGAGAAAGCTTGGACACCTGGCCCACCTCACTGAATGAGGACAAAAGGAACTGTGCCTGGCTCTAGACCTCCAGTTCATTGTTTTCTTCTCTGTGAAGGGTTCCCTTGAGCATGTGGGACCAAAGGACTCACATAGATCTTGTTCTGCTGGTAGCGGATCAAGAGGTTGTGCACCATGCCTGCCTCATTCAGGTCCCCTAGGCAAATCATGTCATCCACACCCTGGGATGAATTGGGGTGCATGAGGCTGAGGGTACCAAGGTCCTCTGCTTGGATCCAGTGTTCCTGGAAAACAGGTACAAATTCTCAACATGGATCAGCCACCCCCTCTTTTCTCCCATATTCTCAGATCTAAGGTGACCCAAATCAGTTGGTATCCAGCCTCTGGCCAGGCAAAATCTTGGTTTAAGTCAAGGGACACCTGTGACAAAGTCAGGCCCATCTATGGCTTTGGTCAGCCCCTGTCTAGGGACCAGGGTCCATGTGAAGCCGGGACAGGGGCTGAGCTTCAGAGATGCAGAAGCTAGCTGCCGAAAGTTTTCTTTAGGGTTGCAGATGGAGGCCTTGCTGGTTGTTGGAGTAGAAGAGTACAAGTGAAAATAGTTTTTAAAATTTCACAACATTATGCAGATAAAAGGCTATTACTTTATTGGCTTCTAGACTGTGAAACTCCTAGGCACAGTCAGAACCTTCTCCTTGGAGGCTATGTCTACACGTGTCCTTCCCTGCAGTCCCAGGGCACAGGGGAGGGTTGGCCTAAGGAGATTTAAGTGACCAGCTGGACACTAACACCCTCCCCACCATCAAATGTCCCTGCCTTCCTCAGGAGGACAAGCTTCCAGCCAGTCTGCTCTGAGCTGTCCTCTTCCACCCTGGGCACTTTTGCACCTTCTTCCTCTTCCACAGACCGTGCTCAGCCAGCTGTCCCTCCCACCTCCTCCCCTCTTCATAATAGCTTTTGGGCCTCTGTACTCCCTGCCTCAGCCCTGCTCCTCCCCATTCCCTCCTGGTCCCTGTAATTCTCTTTGGTTGAAACCCTCAAAACACCCCAAGACAAATATATACTTTTACCAAGGCAGGACTCCATCATGGAGTATCCTGCCTGGGGGATACCCCTTGGACTGGGGACTCCTAGGTGATACTGGGGAGCAGGTCCCAGGGTCCTTCAGGAAGAGAGATTGAAGGGGAACCCCAACACTGACCTTGCCTTCATCATCCTCAATTAAGATCTTGCCCAGCTTTGTATCTTTGACAATGCCCCCAATGGCCACGCAAGTCTTGTCAGTGGAGGGAGGGTTCAGCCAGACATGGTCACCCTGGAGAGCACAGAGGGGACAGTGATCGGACCCCTGTTCTTCCTGGAGACTTACCTGTCCTGGGACGTCTCCTGCAACCCCAAGCTCCCAGGTGGCGGAAGCACTCTCTACCTTTCTCTTTTCCTTCACTGTCAATCAAGCTTGCCTGCGTCTATCCTGTCTCTACCAAAGAACTCACCAGCGACAGGGGCTCAGCCTTTTCTACAGCCCGTCTCACTAAGAGATAAAAATCAAATTTTGCCCCTAATTATGAAGGCAGTAAGGCAGGGTAGTTAAAAGCAGACTGCTTCTCAGCCAGGCATGGTGGCTAGCACAGGCCTTTAATCCCAGCACTCGGGAGTCAGAGGCAGGTGGATCTCTGTGAGTTCAAGGCCAGCCTGGTCTACATAGTGAGTTCCAGGAAAGCTGGGGTTACAGGGAGACCTGTCTCAAAAAGACCAAAAAAAAAAGCAGACTGCTTCTCAAACATGAAAATGGCATACTGGCATACTGGAGAGATGCGCTCAGTCCCTAACATCAGAGCAAAAAAAACAGGGCATGATAGTGTGTATTTGTAATACCAGTTCTGCTGAAGTAGGGACAGGAGGACCCCTGGGCTTTGCTGGCCAGCCTACCTAGCTTAATGGGTGATTTCGGGCCAGTGAGAGACTCTGTCTCAAAAAAACAAGGTAGGGGCTGGCAAAGTGGCTCAGGGGGTAAAGGCACCTGTCACCAAATCTGACCATCTGAGTTCCATCCTTGGAACCCATAGGGTAGAAGGAGAGAACTGACTCCGGCAAGTTGTCCTCTGACTGCCACATGCAAACCATGGTACACATACACACACACACACACACACACACACAGACAGACATACGCACACACAAATAAATAATAAAATTAATGTGAAAAAAAACAAATCACACAAAAGGTAGATGGCATCTGAGGAACGGTATACTCGAGGTTGTCCTCTGGCTTTCACATGCATATTTGTCCATGCACATCAGCACACACTTGTACATACCCCCACACAAACATAAACAAACACAAAATTTTCAAAAGTAAAAATAAATAAGCTTGAAATGGCACCAAGAATTGACCTTTCCACTTGCATCCTCTCAGAGGTTACCATAGCAACTAGGAGGCTGAGGAGACAAAACACTGTGGTCAGTGATGCTGGCAAAAAGCTGAGCTGTAGAGAAGACAGGAGGGCTTCTGGGAGAGGCAGGAGGAAAATGCACACACACACACACACACACACACACACACACACACCTGCCATCCACAGAGTCCAGAGGACTACTGGCAACTCCCAGAGGACTTCTGGGAGAGTAAGGGTGTGAAGCTAGGTAGGTTGAGCAGGCTCAGGTGAACAGACCCACACTGAAGGACATTTGGGGGACGCAAATTAGACTCTATAAGCCTTAACACACACACACACACACACACACACACACACAGTAGCGTACATAAAATTGGGCAGGGGGTAGCAAGGGGGAGGTGCAGATAGGAAGGGGATCTAAATAAAATAAAAATGTATTATATGAAAATATTGCAAAAATTTGTGTTTTTTCCAATACTAGAATCCTTCTTTTCCTCAAACACCCTCCTCCTCATCTCCAGAAATTTCCTTCTAGGGTCTCTTTGCCTCTCTTCTTTTCTTAGAGTGATTCAGTTCAGCTTTGGGAGACAGCCATGGTAAATGTTGTTCTTACCAGCCTGAACACTGCGGACATTCTGGGTCAGCAGCTCTCCGCACCCTGTAGGGAGAGAAAGCAGAATGTTAACTTTATGGTCTACCAGTGTGGAGCCCCTGATGGGCAGGTGCTGCATGAGTTCATCAGCTTGTCTCTGAGTGCCTTGCCTGGAACCTGGCTCTAGAAACAGCTCTAGATAGTTGGATATATGTACAAGCCATAGTCTCAGTCCACACGTAAGAAGGAGTTCCTGTCCTCTTCATCCTGCCTCACCTTTAGTGGACAACCCCTTTGCCCTGGGCCTTGGGCTCCATGCAAAAGTAGGACAGTGCCCTGTTATTCAGAAGCCGAGAGAGAGAGAGAGAGAGAGAGAGAGAGAGAGAGAGAGAGAGGGAGAATTCCTATGTGTGCACATTCATGTTGTATGTGCATGTTTGTAGAGGCCAGAGGTCAACCTTAGGTGTTATACCTCAGGAACTGTTCATCGTGTCCTTCTTTCTCCCTCCCTCCCTCCCTCCCTCCCCCCTCTTTTCTTCCCTCCCACCCTCCCTCTTTTCTTCCCTCTCTCCCTTCTTCCCTTCCTCCCTCCCTCCCTCCCTCTCTCTCTTTCATTCTTTCTTTCTTTGTATATAGGTATTATGTGCATATGTATATATGTTTGTATGTGTGTTTGCATGTGTGTGGGCTCACATGTGTGCACGTGTTTGTGGAGGCCAGAAGTTGATACCAGCTGTTTACCTTGATCACTCTCCACTTTCTACATTGAGGAAGGGTCTCTTACTGAACCCAGAGCTCACTGATTCAGCTAGTCTAGCTAGCCAGTTTTCCCTGTGGATCCTGTCTCCACCTCCCAAGGCTGGGATTACAGATGGGCTGCCATGCATTCCTGACATTTATGTGGGTGATGGGGATCTGAACTCTGTCACATGTATACAAGCACTGAACTCACTGAGACATCTTCTCAGTCTCCACCTTGTTTTTTGAGACAGGGTCTCTCACTGGGACCTGGGGCTCACCAAATAGGCTAGACTGGCTGGCCAGTGAGTCCTAGAGAACCCCTATCTCTACCTCCCAAGTCCAGAGATTACAAGCATATGTCACCATGTCCACTAAAGCCCAAATTGTATCTGCTCTCACATCTATGCAAACCACCCATATGTCCTGGGAGGAGCTCAGCTATACATAGCTTGCATACTTGATCTAAACTCACTGTACCCTGGAACATGGGCATGCCTCCACTTATTCTTTTTCCTTTCAGTCAGCATCTTATTTATTTTTGTTTTTGTTTTTGACAAGTTCTCCCTAGTCTCAGCTAGCCTGGAAGTCACTATGCTATGTAGACTAGGCTGGCCTCAATCTCATGCCTGCCTCTGCCTCCTGAGGGCTAGAATGAAAGGCATGCACCACTACACCCATTGTAGCATCTTGTTATAAAGCTTATGTTGGCCTTGATTTCGCAATCCTGTTTCAGTCTCTCAACTGCAGGGATTACAGAAGTAAAATGCCAAGCCTGATTCTTTGTTTTTTACAAGGGGTTTAACAAGGAAAGGTGGCTTAGTTAAGGTGTAGCATAGCTGGGACTTGAGTCTGGATCCACTTTATTGCAAAGTGGCTGCTCTCAGGTGCTATGGGAACACTCAGGCAGGCCTGATTCACAGCCAGCAGGTGGAATAGAGAGACCAGGATCCCAACCTTGCCATTCATGGAAGGACTGTTCCTGTTACTCTTGAGTGTTGGTGTCTTTCCCTTCCTTGTGTAGAGCAATGTGAGGAAGCGCCAAATCTGTAGTGTTCATTCCCATTGCTCTAGTACAGTTCTGCACCAGAAGGAACACAGACAATATTTGTCAAATGGAAGGGCTTGGGAAGCCGCTGGAGATGGTGTTGCTGTGATGATGGCTTAGATGGTTGGATGAGGATGCCTAGAGGTGGGGCAGCTTTGAGAATAGATGGCATCATTCCATTCTAGAGGAGAGAACATGGAAGCCAGGAAATGCTGAGACTTTGCCAAAGTGTGTGTGTGTGTGTATGTATGCATGCGTGTTCATGTATGTACAGGTGCATGTGTGTGTGCAGGTACACATATTTGCAGAGTCCAGAGGACAATCTCATGTGGTGATCCTTATTGGCATGGAAGAATGTGGCAATTAAGCTAGACTGGCTGGCAAGCAAGCCCCAGGGATTCACTTGTTTCTACCTCCCCGACACTGGGTTATAAGTGTGTTCCATCATGTTTTTAAAAAATAGGTTCTGGGGGATCAAACTCTAGTTTATATTCTTGCAAGGCAAGTTCTTTGCCAACTGAGCCACCTTGCCAAAACTTTTCAACTGATAAGCAAAGAAGGGGTATCTTCTCCCTGACTCCAAAATCTGCCCCTTGGCCCTATACCCGCTGCTGTGGATAAGAGCCTGTCTTAAAATATAAGAGTCTGTCAAAATGCTAAGACCTTCACCAACTCTCAGTTTTTTGAAGGAAGGCTGGTCTCTCTTTCTACCTCACAGAACCCAGAGGGCATTGGAGGGAAAAGACAGAGAAGCCTGACCTGCCTGTCTACCTGACCTGCCTCTGCCTACTCAGCATCAGCGCCCACTCTGGGCATCTCCACACCAAGTAGAATCTGAGACTCACTCTTAAAGCCCAGCTCATGATGCCTGTGGCATCTGACCACAAGACACCAGGCTCAGACCTACTTCATATATGACCCATGTTAGTCGGACTGGATATAGCTGGTCACATACTCTGGATTACTGCTCTTTTGATTGCAGGCTCAAGTGCTTTCCACTCTACCCCCCCTCCCTGTTCTGGTCTTCCTGTGACCCAGAGTGGCTATCTTCAGAAGTCATGTCCTCACACTGCCTCTGCTGACCACACCCCAGCCTAGCATCTAGATGCCCCTTCTGGACAACTGTTCTCCATTGCACTGTGACCCGTTTACTTCTCAATCCAATGATCTGCTTCCTAGCTTCATTTCTACTGCTAGCTAGCCTAGAAATAGCTTTAAATCTTTTGGGGGGAGAAAATAGTTATATAATCACCATAAATAGAATATAAAAATAAAATACAAGGGGATGGAGAATAATTCAGTCAGTAAAGTGCTTGCTTTGCAAGCATGAGGATTTGAGTTCAAACCCCAAAATCCATGTCAAGAAGCCAGGCATGGTAGTGTGCATTTATAATCCCTGTGCTGGAAAGGCAGAGGCAGGGAGCTAGCTACCTGGGGTTCACTGGCCAGCTAGTCTTGCCTACTTGGTAAGTTCCAGGCCAGTGAGAGACATTGCCTCAAAATAACAAGATGGACAGTGCCTGAAGAATGACGGTCAAGATTGTCCTCCAGCCCTCATACTCATATGCACATACACATATGAACATGTGCACAACACACACACACACATGCACACACGCATGCACACATGCTCACCAAAATAAAATATAAAATAGGTGTAAATGATGTGGTCTTTCGGTCCCCCCACCCCCTCTCTGTTTCTCTTTCTCTCTTTTCTCTTTTTCTTTCTGTGTGTATCTGTCTCTATCTGTCTGTCTCTCTCATATTGTTATTTCCCTCTACCTGGCTCCTGCTCTCACCTTGCAAGATCCCAAGCCTGGAGTGGGGCATGGTCAGTAATAAGTTCTGTTTTCCCGTAGCTAGAGGCTAGAATAGCTAGTGGGCTGAACTCTCCTATGTCCATCTGTGAGAAATATATGGAGAACCTTCTTTGGTACATGGTTAGTCCTCTTGGGCAAACAAAACAAGAACTGTCTTCCAGATTTCTTCTTGCTATTTACTCTGTACATTTTGACCTATTTTAGTCATTGCAAGAAGAAAGCCATCTGCGTAAAGGCACTTGTTGTTAAGTCTGACGACCTGAGTTCAGTCCCTGGAACCCATATGGTAGAAGGACAGGACCAACTCCCAGAAGTTGTTCTCTAATCTCCACATGTGCACCATGGCATGCGGATGCCCACCTTTCCAATAAAATGAATAAAATAAATATAAAAAGATAGCAACCACCCTTAGCTTCCAGCTCCACTACACACTTTCTTCCACCATTCCTCTGCATGTTGAGGTTACTGGCTGAGTGAAGGGGCCTCTGGTAGTTCGCATTAATCCTTCTGGCCTCTCTGACTTCCTTCATCAGGATTTTAGCTTTATTGGTTACTATGGTAGTTTAGAATAGTCCACTAATTATTTGACATGATGCTCTGGTTTGAGTATAATTTGAGTGTCCCCCAAAGGTACATATGTAAAGACTTGGTCCTCAGGGTGGTGGAGTTGAGAGGTACTATGAATCTTTATGAGGTGGGGCCCAGTGGGCAGTCCAGAGGTCATTGCGGGGAGTGATCTTGAAAGGTATTATGTGACCTCACCTCACCCATAGAGTCTCTCTTTGGTCTACTTGAAACGTGACCACTTGTGTTGACACTAGCCCCTGCCACAATGTGCTGCTCTCACCAGACGCCCAAGCCAATGGCGCCTCCTAATCTTGGACTTGAACCACCAAAACCATGAACCCAAATTTCCCTCACTGTGCTTCATAAGTAGCTGGTGTAGGGTATTTCACTACAGTGATAGAGAGCTGATTAAGAAACATGCCTCCTTTTACAAGATGGAGACCAATCCGTTCCACCATAAGAGTAGACCTAGTGATTCACTTCTAACAAATAGAATGGTGGGAGTGATGGGGTGCTACTTCTGAATCACAAAGATTGGAGGCATTCATCATTCTTTGCTTCCTGACTGCAGATACAATGTGACCAGTTGCCCCAAGCTCCTGCCACCATGACTTTCTTGCCAACATGGCTGTACCATGGAACCATGAGCCCAAATAAGCCCTTCTTGTTAAGCTGCTTTGTCTGGTGTTTTGTCAGAGCAATAGGACAAGTGAACAGCAGCCTACCACCTCCCTGCTGGGAGACTCCCCCTCCTGGGTCTGTCTTCTCTGCAAAGACAAGCTCAGGTCTCATGTATCTTAAAATGAATTTCCTTGGCCTCATAGCTTCCTTGCCTTTTGTTCCACATCTGCTACTTAAGGGAGCCATCCCGTCACACTGCCTTCCCTGTATAA